GTCACACTATCATAGTTTTAAATAGAAAACCTTCATATACACAATCCTATACCTACAGTTGATCCAGAGAGAAGGCAGAAAACCCCCAGTAAAGCATGACCCAACTTGCTCCAGCAGGGAAAAATATATTCCTTCCTGATCATGTTTGAGATCTTGCACCTCCGTTTACTTCCCCTATTCTATGAATGGGTAAAACAATGCCTTCCTTGGATATGTGATGTTGGTATCCCAGGGGCAGAATGAAAAGAATGAAACTTCATTCTTGCCTAGGCAAAAATGGAGACAAAGCAGAAAAGGGAAAAAAAGGTAAATTACATTTTTTTATACATATTTATTTATATTTTCTTCTTTTTTTTTTTTTTTGAAGTGGAGGGGGAATTAGAATGATGCAACATGTTATTTCTGAGGGAAGGTCTGAATACTACCCCAGTTTTACTTTGCAAGAGCAAACTTTAATGTTGATCCTTCAGTATTGTAGATATTGAGATTTCAGCGCACCAGCTGAGAAAGTTAAACTGTTTATGCCGTGAGCCTTAGGATATCCCTGAGGATGCCATGCAAACAGATTGCCTGGAATCTGAACTGAAGCTTTGTGAAGATTTCAGGGTAAGCTAGAGATCCAGTTACAACAGGATGAGGATTATATGGAACTATAGAATTTTTTAAAAGATGAAAACATATGGTGTAAAAAGCATGTGGTTGAGCCGTGTTTTAAGCATCCCCCAAACTCCCTGCCTTAAAGATTAGTTTACCTTTACCAAAAATCTGCTTATGCAGCTAAGGGGCATGTATAGATGAAAATAAACTGCAGCTTTGACTAAAGTTAATGACTTTGCTATAGGCAATTATATACCTCCCAAAGATGACATCCACCCTCCATCCACCCTGCTCACCTCCACCATCACAAGTGTGAGCTCTCACTATGATTCAACCCCTCATGTGCACTTTCTCTCCCCCAGGGCAGTAGCTCTGAGCTCAGCATTTTGAGAGCTCGCTCTTTTGATGCTGGGGGTGGACAGTACAACCCTGGCCAAAAGTTTTGAGAATGACACAAATATTTACCTGCAAGGAAACACATGTAGTTATCATTGCTTTGCACAAAAAGGGATTCACAGGCAAGGATATTGCAGCTACTAAGATTGCACCTAAATCAACCATTTATGGGATCATCAAGAACTTCAAGGAGAGAGGTTCAATTGTTGTGAAGAAGGCTTCAGGGGGCCCAAGAAAGTCCAGCAAGTGCCAGAACTGTCTCCTAAGGTTGATTTAGCTGCAGGATCAGGGCACCACCAGTGCAGAGCTTGCTCAGGATTGACAGCAGGCATCTGCACGCAGTGAGGAGAATACTTTTGGAGGATGGCCTGATGTCAAGAAGAGCAACAAAGAAGCCACTTCTCTCCAGGAAAAACAGGGATAGACTGATAAAAGGTACAGGGATTGGACTACTGAGGACTGGAGTAAATTTTTTTTTTCTGATTGGGGCATCCAGAAGAAAGTGCTACCATCAGTCCTGTGTCATGCCAACAGTAAAGCATCCTGAGACCATTCATGTGTGGGGTTGCTTCTCAACCAAGGGAGTGGGCTCACTCACAGCCATGAATGAAGAATGGTACAAAAACATCCTCCGAGAGCAACTTCTCCCACCCATCCAAGAACAGTTTGATGATGAACAATGCCTTTTCCAGCATGATGGAGCACCTTATCATAAGGCAAAAGCGATAACTAAGTGGCTTGGGGAACAAAACTTTGAAATTTTGGGTCCATGGCCAGGAAACTCCCCAGACCCTAATCTCATTGAGAACTTGTAGTTAATCCTCAAGAGGTGGATGAGCAAAAAAAAAAAAAAAAACCCACAAATTCTGACAAACTCCAAGCATTGTTTATGCAAGAATGGGCTGCCATCAGGACGTGGTCCAGAAGTTGACTGACAGCATGCTGGGAGAATTGCAGAGGTCTTGAAAAAGAAGGGTCAACACTGCAAATATTGACTCTTTGCATAAACTTAAAGTAATTGTCAATAAAATCCTTTGACACTTATGGAATGCTTGTAATCATCAGTATACCATAGTAACGTCTGACAAAAAGATCTGCAAACAATGAAGCAGCAGACTTTTAATATTTGTGTCATTCTCAAAACTTTTGGCCGGGGCAGTGAGGTGAGGGACCTTCTTAGTAACATCCTAGCAACAAGGCAGACAATGCTAAAATTGTGAATTGTTACCCTTTACTGTGGAGCTGGGCACCAGTATATTATCAGTATTTGAGGTTTCCCAGGATGGGGGATGTCACCTCTGGTTGTTTTTCAGCCAGGCTTTGGGAGGTACATAAATGGCCTACACCTATAGCAAGGGATTTATTATTATATACAGGATTTATATAGCGCCAACATTTTGCTCAGCACTATACAATATAAATGGAGACAATACAGTTCAATACAAGAGGGTTAGGAGCAGGGGCGGACTGACAACACATGGGGCCCCCGGCAATAAGGGATCATGGGGCCCCTGAGTCCTTGCCCAAACTCAAAAAGCCTATGAGAACGGTACCAGGGGAATCTCATGGGGCCCCCTACTGACTCCGGGCCCTCAGGCAGTGCCAGTTTCCAAATGGTCAGTCCGCCGCTGGTTAGGAGGGCTGCTCCTAGGAGTTCACAATCTAATGTTCAACTTTGGTCAAAGTTGCTCAGTTTATCTACTCACGCCCTTTACATGCATAGGCAGTTTTTTGGTAAAGTAACCCTTTAAGTTGCAAAGACAGCAGATGGGGGTGTTCACATGCCATGGTTGTGATGCTTTGCTTCGCACCCTTAGCAGAATTTATCCCCCTGTCGCATTTGATGGCCGGTACCGCCATTAAAGGTAATCCATGTGGATGGGGACTACGTACAATGCATCAGCTTCTAACTTCAGCTTATTTATTTAAGCTTTGACCAAAAAAAAAAACTGGAAGCTGATTGGTTTCTATGCAGAGCTGCAACATATTTTGTACTCTCCAGGTTTAGTAAATCTACCTCCTTGTTGTGATGACAACTAAGTATTGCAGCAAATTCATTTGGTGTGCCAAGTCTGTCGAATTCGCCCATTGACGTCAATGGGACTGCACTGGAACCTCAAGCCAAACAGTTGGCTTGTGGTTGCTACATGGTATTTCACTGCAAAGTACCCTTTGGCTGGAAAAAAAAAAAAATTGGGTTAAAAAAAAAAGGTATTGAGAAAGCAGTATCACACTGTGGATCGCTTTTCAGGAGGGGGTTTGCTGTAGAGACTGCAGCAGGTATAAATGAGGCCTAAGAAGGTCAACTGTATGTCCTCACTCTGTGCACTGCAGGAGAGACTGACTGCCTCCTACTGCTACTTCCCCCCTCTCCCATACTGAGTGCTGCTCTTCAGAGGTTTCAGGAGACTCATATCAAGATCTTCTAATACTTCAAGTATTCTGTAAGAATAAAATGTCATTTTTTTAAAATAAACATATACCTTAATTAAATACTGGCCTTTTATATACAGTATGCCTACAGTTCAACTAATGTAAATAACATTCTCTGGTCAGTCGCTGATTGTTCTATAAACAATACATCATTTGTGTGCGATCCCCATTATTTATTCCTTTTCTCTCCTGCCAGATATTCCCATAGGACTTTCACCCTATGTTGTTCTACCTGACATTGGGAGATGTTCTCAAGACAACACATCAAACTTCTTTTAATTGGAAATGCGGGGTGAGTTTATTTTCTTGTGCAATGCAAATGGTAATCATTGTAATATAGAAAAGTGGTTATATATATCATGAGGGGTGATTTATTCAAACGGAAAAAAAAAGTCTGTGCTGTGCAGAGCAAACACTCAGCCTGACGGGCTTTTGTAAGGGGACTTCTGATTCATCGGGTGTTGATGCCAAAATGTGCAAGTCCCTGCCCCACTTCTTGGATAGGACAGTGACCCACTGCTGGAAGTCATAAGCCTTTGCTATATTGTGCCCAACTGTTGTGCCATAGGCCTACCCACGCCATCCCCCGCCATGAGCCTTTTATATTTAAAAGAAAGGGAATGTCCACGCCAAATATTTTTCTGCACTTTACTGTTCCTCTTCAAAAGATGTGACATCATGGATGTAGCCCCTCCCAATACATTTTGTCTATAGGAAATCTTCAGGGATTGGTCTATTGGACACTCTTCAAAAGATGGCCATGATATACAGCATCTCTTGCCATACTGACAGGTGTCTTTGGCATAGAACGCCATACACAACAGTGGACATATTGTAGCAGTTATTTGTTAGTGCAACATCAGCACATTACCCAAAAGCCATCTTCCACTTGTACTCCCTCTCCTCTCTTTGGAGGCACCGCAGTGTTGGGACCTATTTCCCAGTATACTCGGATCTGAAGCTCTCTGCTCTATTCAAACTGAGATTAACAAGGTGCTTGCTATTGGATACCAATCTCTCTCTGTCTCACTCCATAGCTTTACTCAGGCATGCTCCCAGATGTTACTCCCAGATGTGCTAGTAATCACCGAGAACACTTAGGCTGGCTTTAAAGGCCTTTTGAATCCCACTCACAGTCCACTTAGACCACGGGTGTCAAACTGGTGGCCCTCCAGCTGTTGCCAAACTACAAGTCCCATGAGGCATTGCAAGATTGAGTTACAAGCATGACTCCCAAAGGCAGAGGCATGATGGGACTTGTAGTTTGGCAACAGCTGGAGGGCCGCCAGTCTGACACCCCTGACTTAGACCATAGTTCCAGTCAGGGAGACTACAACTGGTTTTTCTGGGTGTCAAATTACCTGAAGTTTAGCCCTGTGAAGGACCCTTAGCGGTAGTTACATACATCCACGTTGCTGTGACTCCCATGCCATCTCTCTAGGCCCCTCCCTTCCTGGCATTTATATGGGCACAAACTCCACCCATTGCATCACTACAGGAAGGCTTTGTCTAAAAGGGCGTCTAAAACCTAATTACATAATTCCCTATTATCTCACCATTTTGGCACAGACTAGCTAACTGCACCTGCTTACACGCTATCTAATAAACCTGAGAACTGTCCAAAACCTCCACTATTCTCATGTTTTAACATGTTTCTAAACCCAGGACCCTGCATTCACTATATCTGGTCTCCCCGGACCCGGACCCCGCATTCACTATATCTGTTCTCCCGGACCCCGGTCTCCCCGGACCCCGCATTCACTATATCTGGTCTTCCCGGACCCTGCATTCACTATATCTGTCTCGGACCCCCGGACCCCGCATTCCCTATATCTGTTCTCCCCGGACCCCGCATTCACTATATCCCGGACCCCGCATTCCCTATATCTGTCTCCCCGGACCCCGCATTCACTATATCTGGTCTCCCCGGACCCCGCATTCACTATATCTGGTCTCATTCCCGGACCCCGCATTCACTATATCTGGTCTTCCCGGACCCTGCATTCACTATATCTGTTCTCCCCGGACCCCGCATTCCCTATATCTGTTCTCCCCGGACCCCGCATTCACTATATCTGGTCTCCCCGGACCCCGCATTCACTATATCTGGTCTCCCCGGACCCCGCATTCACTATATCTGGTCTCCCCGGACCCCGCATTCACTATATCTGGTCTCCCCGGACCCCGCATTCACTATATCTGGTCTCCACGGACCCCGCATTCACTATATCTGGTCTCCCACGGACCCCGCATTCACTATATCTGGTCTCCCACACGGACCCCGCATTCACTATATCTGGTCTCCCACGGACCCCGCATTCATTCCCACTATTCACTATATCTGGTCTCCCACGGACCCCGCATTCACTATATATCTGGTCTCCCACGGACCCCGCATTCACTATATCTGGTCTCCCCACGGATCTGGTCTCCCCCCGCATTCACTATATCTATCTGGTCTCCCCGGACCCTGCATTCACTACATCTGGTCTCTCACAGTACACACAACATGGAAATGCAACTATTTTAGTAAATATAAACTGCTAAATACCTTTTTTCATTAGCAGTTAGAGCAGTCTTGTGACTTCAGCAGGGCACTGGTTAAAGCTTGTAGGAGTTTTCTTTCTGCTCTAGGAGGATGTGAAACCTCTGACCCTCTCTCTGGACTGTGCGGATTGGCCCTGTGCTGATCACATGCACCCTCCCAAGAAAAAACAAACAAACAAACCTTTCTAGCAATACAAATCAAACTGAGCATGTGCATGTGACTATGGATTCAGTCTGTATCAAGTGGACATTTCAACAAGAGAAGGGGCAGAGAAGAAAGGATCAAACAGCCTTTTTACACAATAGAGGATTAACCCCTTAGGTTCCACAGTGAGTATAACAAGCATGCTTTACTGCATAAACAGACTGATTTTACTGTTGTGGGTTTAGTAACCCTTTAAGGTCCAGCATCACTAAAATCCCTATACTACCGATCTATTAAAAGTCAAAGTTAAGTGATATACAGAAATTATTATTCAGAATAGCTTGGATATCACAAGGTTTGTCATCTAACCCTTGATTTCCTCACCCTGCAGGCTGACTAGCTGCAGGTGCTGTTCGCCTGACAATTTTCGGTCCGGCTGCTACAACAAATAATCGACTTTGTAAAGCTGGCCAAGCACCTACTGTTAGATTCCTCTGAATCGGACGATATTCTAACACTGTATGGCTATCTAATATCTAGAAATTTGTAGACTTAGACTTGGGCTTTAGAACAGTAGTGGTCAACTTACTTGATAGAGGAGGCCTCAAGTACAGCCCATGAAGTCACCAAGGGGCCACACATAATAATCCTGAATGTAATGCTATAGAAAACTTCCAGGGACATGTAATAGATGAGCATAGAATGTGAACATGCCATAAGAGTTGTTGAAAAATGGGGGGGATGCTTCAAGAGACTACATCGGACTGCTACTGCTGCTTCCTCATTTGGGCTTTCTACGGCCGTAAGATGAACAAGAGAAAAATCAATCCATTCCCCCACCCATACTGTTAAAATGGATGGAGGAATCTCCACTGCAGGCTATTGTATTCAGGCAGCTGTATTATCAGAGGTCACCTAAATACAATGGTGATGCCGATCATGCAATAGGTTGCAGTCGCTGTTAGACTGAGCTGGGTGGAAAATTATTGGCCTATCTTTAATTTTACTTTTGTTAAGTTGAAGGGGACCTGCAGGGACAATCCAGATTCAAATTTCAACCAATTTTGCAGGAATCAGCCCAAATTCAAGCCATCTATCAACGTGTAACACTGCAAATCAGAGCTTGTTTGAAATGAGAAATAATGCCAATACCACCCCCACTTCCCCATTTATTGTTACAAGCAACACATGGTAGTTTTTTTTTTTGTGGTTTTTTTTTTTTTTTTTCTTCTTAATTTTAACTCTCAACACACAAGTTAACCTACCTCTAGTGTAACAGTTATAGTATGGGTCATGAAACATTGAGCGAGACATATTGAAGCAAAATTAAAGAGGATTAGTAACAAGGGTTTCTAACACTACCACATATTATTGAACTTATATACAGTACATCAAGTTGGGTTTATTTTACACATGTATATCTATAAGATATTAGAGAGTAACCAGGTGTGGCACCCTCTGAGATTAGTGCAGGTTGTTAGGTAAATTTATGCTTCACTCCTCTTTGATCAGTGGAGCTGGGGATGATTATTCTGGCCTGTTCAGTGTCTCATGGGCTGCTGCTCTGATTACTTCCCCCCTATATTCTAGAGGATTCTATAATCATACTGGGAGGAAGAGTGGGTAGCTTGAAAATGTATGGGGAATCCAGCCAATCCCTGGGGAGGAGTGCCAAACAGGTGGCTGAAAAGCCCATAAAAAGTCTGAAGCCTGAGGTAGGAAAAGGAGAATTCATGGGCCCAGTTCCTGCTCGAGGAGACCCCTGCGCAGTGCCTTTGCCCCTGGGACAGGATTACTGGAGCTGCCATCTAGAAGACAGTGAGGTCCCAGCTGGAGCCTTAGCAGGGGGGCCTATTTGCAAAGCCTAGTCCTGAAGTGAGCTTGAGTCTGGAGAAGCTCACTGGAGAGAGCTAGGAGGAAGTTGGGGAAAAGTGTTAGGGATCCGGGTATGACCAGAAATGTGTGGACTGACACAGGGAAGTAGCAGGCTTCAAGAACACAGGCGTAGTCAGGCTGTAGAGGTGGAATGGTCAGGCAGGCCGTAAGGTACTGTCAGGTGCCACCTGGCAGTGTCTCTAGCAGCCCACAGCATGGATTTCCCCAGGGCGCAGGGTCTAAGTACCAGCCTGCTATTCACCAGGGCCCCTGATGGTGGGGATGGACTTGGTGCAGACTGGAACCAGGTCGCGACCCCTGAGTGCATCCGGCTGTGGTAGAGAGTACTAGCAGGGGAGTGCAGGAACGGAGTCTGATGGGAAGAGGCAGGCAGACTTACCAAAGGTGATCCGTGCGGGATGGATGGATCGTCGGGTGAAGTAAGCGTAGTCAGACAGGCCGGGTCGGTATCGTGCGGGCAGCGTGGTACAGGAGGAGCAAGCAGAGAATGGTCGGGGTCACAAGCCAGGTTCAGCAGGTAGCGGGCAGCGCGGTACCGAGGAAGATCAGGCAGAAGGATGGTCTGGCAAGCCAGGGGTTCAACAGGAGATGGTAAGAAAAGGTCCGGATCAAAGCAGGGTCAGCAACAAGGCAGTAACACAGGATACCAGGTACAAGGGCTCATGGGAAACATACACCAAGGCCCAGATCATAGTCCTGGTCATTCCTTATATGCACCTCCTGCAATCAGCCTCAGGTGTTTTGGCTGATTGCAGGAATGAGCCTCTGGTTGCTGAGAGCACCCGCTGGCCAGCCCTGGTACTGCAACCCACAAGGCAGGTGAGTCCCACCACTATTGGCGAGTGCATTCCTGACAAAAAGTGTCCAGCTGTCCTATGGTGATGTGAGTCCGCATCACCCCTTGCTGAAGAGTCACTGGTGGATATCGGAGGCAACCGATGATCTTGTAGCATTGTGAGTAGATTACCTAAGTGCTGGATATTAGCGACTGTGTGTAGCTCTTGGTCTTTTGGAAGAAGTTATAGTCACCCACCAGCAGTAGAAATTCTGTGGGACTATTTTGCAGCTCAGTGAGATGGAGAAAAGTAGTTGTGATCTGTGATTGGCTACAGCTAATCACATGGTACAGGGTGCTGTGATTGGACCAGGTACCATGTGCTAGCTGTGGGCCATTCTCAGCATCACTGTAAATGTACTGTGGGCGGCAAGTGGTTAAACGATTCAGTTCACCAGTTTTGGGTATCCCTTGCTCCCTTAACCCCATCCAAGTCCAATGTTCCAATAAAACATCAAAAAGACACAACTAGACTATTCTATTCAAGCCAGTGGAAGACTGGGGAAAAATGCTGTGTGCCCTTTTAACTGGGGAAAAGAAATTAAGGTTGCCACCGGCTCCTTAAGGGATATGCTACACATCTATTCCCTTTTAAAGGAGGGTAGGTAAGCATACTAGTGTACCCTACCCTACTAGGTAGACTACCTGTACACTGTAACAAAGAGAACCCTTGGTACTCTGGGTCATGTGACCTAATTTAACAGACTTTATTTGCAGTTTAGATCCACTTTTTAACTTGCCTATACTCCTGATTATCTCGGGATAGACTTCATGACTGTCCCTCCTAAAGAAAAATCTTCTTGCTATGGTATTGAAAACCGCTCAAACGGCTGCTGTGATAGCAGATTCCTCAGATTGTGTTGAGAAAAGGACAGTGTACACTGTATCCGTGGATAGGTAATAATGGCCTATGTGGATTTTACAGACTATGGATTCTGATCTTATAATTTGTGTTTACCCTCCACCTCACATGACTGGTGGAATGCAAAGAATTTACTAGTTCTAGTCAAGTAGTGAACGGAGTATGACTTCTTTGTGCCCACATTGAATGTGTATCTAATTAGGATTCTGTGGCTTGCAGAGTGGGAAAGTCAGCACTGATGAACCACTACGTCAACAGCCGCTTCACCAACTTCTACAGAGCCACCATAGGAGCAGATTTCTTCACCAAAGAGCTACGACTAGATGACAAACTGGTGACAGCACAGGTAAACAACAACCAAAAGGGGCATCTACCTGTGTCCAAAGTACAGATGGAGGAGCTTGTCCATGGAGAATGATTCTGGGGATCTCATCATGTAGATTGACATGATGTGTGCAGAGTGTATTTGCAAAAGATAATATAAGAACACAGAAGTGAGGTGAAAGTCACAGGGGTTGTTACAAATATTGACAATTCATCATAGTTCTCCAGGGTTGGCACAGAATTAAAAAGCATTAAGTATATCTCTGCAATACATTTCCCCATGTTTGATCCCTATAAAACACTGCAAGTGCAGAAAAATGTGAATAACTGTTGACCTGCCAGGAATTCAGTGAGCTTCTAATTTCATGTTTGGACTGTCAACACTTCACCCCTGCTACACTGAAATCCCAACTAGTGTTTTCAGTCACTTATCCCCTTAAGTCTAGGTTTAGTAGGTGCGACTAAGCATGCATGCATTTTCCCCTAGATGACCCCTCCCCCTTCAAAAAAAAAATACACACCAATTACTGTACCGAATCAACTAAAGTGTATGCAAATCAGTATGTGCCAATATACATATATTCAAATTTTCATAAAGAACCTTTGAATGTGCCAGGTGCTTATGAACCCTATGTAAACAAATGCAGTGATACTCTTTACAGTCAGAAATGCATCAGACAGCGATTTTGAATCCACATAGCGTAATCCTGCTTGATGTAATTTACTGGTAACAATTTAACACCATCCTTTTGATACCCCTCTGACCGCTAGGGCCGACTTGCATCAATAAGTTCTAACCGCCGCTCAGTGCTACTTGTTTGATCCAACAAGAGTCTGCTGATGCCCTGTGTGTAGGGAAAGTGCTCTTGGGAGTCCTGGGGGAACATGTCTACATGGGTAGGAACTAAGATCAAAGCAGCAGTCCCTGCAAGAACTTCGGAAGTCTGGTGATTGCCGGATTTTTCACTCCATAAGACGCACCTAGGTTTTAGAGGAGCAAAACAAGAAAAAAAATATTCTGAACATGGAAAGCAGACATAGTAGAGGAGATGACCAGAGACTGCAGACATAGTACAGGTGATGACCGGAGACTGCGGACACAGTACAGGAGATGACCGGAGACTGCGGACATAGTACAGGAGATGACCGGAGACTGCGGACACAGTACAGGAGATGACCGGAGACTGCGGACACAGTACAGGAGATGACCGGAGACTGCGGACACAGTACAGGGGATGACCGGAGACTGCGGACACAGTACAGGAGATGACCGGAGACTGCGGACACATAGAGGAGATGGCCACAGACTGCGGACACAGCAGAGGAGATGGCCGGAGACTGCGGACACAGCAGAGGAGATGGCCGGAGACTGCGGACACAGCAGAGGAGATGGCCGGAGACTGCGGACACAGCAGAGGAGATGGCCGGAGACTGCGGACACAGCAGAGGAGATGGCCGGAGACTGCGGACACAGCAGAGGAGATGGCCGGAGACTGCGGACACAGCAGAGGAGATGGCCGGAGACTGCGGACACAGCAGAGGAGATGGCCGGAGACTGCGGACACAGCAGAGGAGATGGCCGGAGACTGCGGACACAGCAGAGGAGATGGCCGGAGACTGCGGACACAGCAGAGGAGATGGCCGGAGACTGCGGACACAGCAGAGGAGATGGCCGGAGACTGCGGACACAGCAGAGGAGATGGCCGGAGACTGCGGACACAGCAGAGGAGCTGGCCGGAGACTGCGGACACAGCAGAGGAGCTGGCCGGAGACTGCGGACACAGCAGAGGAGCTGGCCGGAGACTGCGGACACAGCAGAGGAGCTGGCCGGAGACTGCGGACACAGCAGAGGAGCTGGCCGGAGACTGCGGACACAGCAGAGGAGAGGGCCGGAGACTGCGGACACAGCAGAGGAGACGGCCGGAGACTGCGGACACAGCAGAGGAGACGGCCGGAGACTGCGGACACAGCAGAGGAGACGGCCGGAGACTGCTGACCTTTGGGGAGCGGGGGGGGGGGGGGGAGTGGGTACCCGAATTTGACAGGTACCCGCTCCCAATCCTGTGGAGATGTCCTTCCCCCCTCCCTCCCCGTAGTCTTCTGGGACACTTGACAGGTCCCTGAAGACCACAGGGCCATTCACAAAGCGCAGCACTTCTCGTGCATGCGCAGTGAGCACCCGGCCGTGAAGCCACAAGCTGTCACAGCCAGGTGCCCACACTGAAGATGCAGGCTCTGGGGAGAGAAGACGGTGAGGACACGCTGGACTGAGGAGCAGGTAGGACCACTGGAGGTCTGCAGGTTCTGCTGCACAGAAGAGCCGAGCGGCCGGTCCAGTATTCAAACGCGGTGACGGGGGGGAATACCAGGCCCAGCCGCTCCATATTCGCTCCATAAGACGCACAGACATTTTCCCCCATTTTTTGGGGGGAAAAAGTGCGTCTTATGGAGCGAAAAATACGGTATGTCACAGAGAGTAATCAAAGTGAAACTAGTCTGCAGTAGGCTTTTGCTATAATATGAGAATACGCACAGCTTATTCACATAATACATTTATCTCTCAAAGTGCCCCCCTCCTACGAGGAACAGCTACAGTCTTCCTCTTAACTCCTTTACCATCGCTTACATCTTCACCTGGTCTTCGCCTTATGTAACTCCTGCAGATGCCCACATTAGTCAGTTGGTACTGGCACTCAAGGCATGCCAACACCGAGCTGAGCTGTGAAGCTTGAGGGTAAATTTGGGTCATGCCCATACATATACTTTAAGCTGCCTATAACTTATGGGGTTACAAAATGCATTGAAGAGATACTTGTGATGAGTGACATAAGGGGGCTAAGTGAGGCTCCAGCAGGCAATGCAATGTCTTAAGTAGTTTGAATTCTTGCCTTGTATGTCTAGGCGTTTGTATGTTCTCTCATTATGTTTTGTAGGTTTACTCTTTGTGCTCCAATTTCCTTATACAATCCAAAAACATTCTGGTAGGCAAACTGGCTACCTCCAAATTTATTTCCAGGCATGCAAATGAATGTGGTAGGGAAATGGACTATTTGCTTCTTTAGGGCAAAGGGTTTGATGTAGTTTTAGGCATTCTGTAAAATGCTGTTGGCTGTAAACCTCGGACATGAAATATGAACAAAGCATATCTCTCTATACTTGTCTCAATCCAGAGCACTAAGTGACATTTCTGTCTGCTGCTTCTTTCCTCTACTATCAGCATGAATCACTTCTGACAAGTTTTGCTGACACCAAGAAAAAATGGTGACAGGGAAGGGAGCTCCAGCAGACTGACAGCCTCAGCTCTGTTCCTGTAAGCTGTGTGGAGATGGTGGGTCTTTTTCCTCTCGTCAACTCTTAAGAGCTCTCCACACCGAGCTCTACAGAGTGACTTCACCTCTCCGCCCCCTTTTTTATGACCGCTTGGACAAGCTGTATAAGTTCTGCACTTTGTATGTAGAGAAGAGAAGACTACAGATAGACAGATAAAACTTATATAGGAGGATTGTTTTCATCTATGTGTATCATCTAAGGCCAGTCACTTCACTGGTTATATCTAAAGGTTTACAGCCACTTTAAGTCTGCCAAAGTAGAGATTCGACAATCCTAAACGTCCATGGTATGACATAAGGAGTATACCACACCCAAAAAAGCTTTTGTACATTTATATATCCAGAATGTAGACAGGGCCTAGGGGATCCTAATCTAGGAAATAACACACACAGAGTTCCTGATATTGTACTTTATCTTGTATATATTATATAGGTTAACCATAATGAATAAGACCGTTTCTATAGGCAATATAGAAGGGTTACAGTTGCTGGTGTACTAGGAAGGTACTCCAGTGCTGGTGAGAACAGCCCCACAATACCAATTCAGATATCAGAATGTTTCCTATGCACAGGTCTTGTCCCTGAGCTGACTCTACTCTCCAGGAACCTCCCCTGTGCTATTCACTCTACCTAAAAAGTGTAATCTCTGTCCGAATGCTGCAGATACCCTATTTTATAAGGTCCCACGCCAAGATGGCTGCCAAAGGTCAGCAGATGTTGCACTGTCCAGTCAGACAGCTGGTACCTCTGAGACACAAATTGGGTCCAGGAGGAGACAAATCCCTTGATAGACCCCACTCCATCTGTACAGTGGCACAGTGCCACTTACTGGACAGATAAAAACCTGCACCTGTCCTGGGGAAACGATCAACTGCATGGAGACCACAGGTAATAATGGTAATTAGTTCTTTGCCCCCATGGCCTGCTTTTCCTAGGCCAGTGGTGGGCAACCTTTTTTTTCAACTGAGCCAAATCTCGCCAAAACCACGATTGAAATTTATTTTGAGAGCCACATTTTTTAAAACTGAAAATACATAGGATGGTACACTGTTTTTAGTTTCTATCAATTTTATAGTAATTCATCCCCTATATAGTAATTCATCCCCCATAGTAAATCATCATCCCCCATAGTAATTCATCCCCCATAGTAATTCATCCCCCCTATAGTAATTCATCCCCCCATATTAATTCATCCCCCATATAGTAATTCATCCCCCATAGTAATTCATCCCCCATATAGTAATTCATCCCCCATATAGTAATTCATCCCCCATATAGTAATTCATCCCCCATATAGTAATTCATCCCCCATATAGTAATTCATCCCCCCATATAGTAATTCATCCCCCATATAGTAATTCCTCCCCCATATAGTAATGCCTCCCCATATAGTAATGCCTCCCCCATATAGTAATGCCCCCATATAGTAATGCCTCCCCCATATAGTAATTCATCCCCCCTAGTAATTCATCCCCCATATTAATTCATCCCTCATATAGTAGTAGTAAGTTGTCCCTCCTGTGTCAATTCACTTACCTTTGCTCCGCGAACGTCGCCGTGTTCCCCGCGCCGTTCCGGTCTTCAGGGCGGACTGTGAGAGGAGCCTAGCTCCCCTCACGTTCGTCACGCTGCCCCGCCTACACACATCCTGACAGCCAATCACTAGCTATCAGGATGTGAGTGGCAGCGAGACTGGCCAATCATTGCTGGGCTAGCTGCAGAGTCCTCGGCCACCCGAGAGGAGGGAGGGGAGGGGAGCGGCCGCCCGAGAGGGGGGAGGGGAGGGGAGCGAGAAGAGCCGCATTAAAATGTGTAAAGAGCCGCATGTGGCTCGCGAGCCGCGGCTTGCCGACCACTTTTCCTAGGCCATAGTTTCCCCAAATGGGTCCCCTAAATGAATAGAAGAATTGTTTGTACTGCCCCAAAACAATAAGATTCTTTCATCCTCTATCAATTTCTAGAACAGATTCAAAAATGATTAGTCCTTATTGAGTAATATAGACAATTTAATTAGACTTTTATATTAATGTTTCTCTTTTTGTCCAGATTTGGGATACAGCGGGCACAGAGCGCTTTCAGTCTCTGGGTGCAGCACTCTACAGGGGCACAGACTGTTGTTTGCTGGTCTTTGACGTGACATCCCCTAATTCCTTCCACGCTCTTGACACCTGGCATAGAGAATTTCTGGTACAAGCTGATCCTTCATCTCCAGACAAATTTCCCTTTGTGGTGATTGCCAACAAGACAGATCTGGAGGAACGTCAGGTTAGTGCCTTGTTTAGTACTGCAGCCGATGCGTCACTGAGCAAACAAGCCTGTTATTACTTCTCTGGGCTGTTTTATTGTATTTACTATGAACTTAGAAAGGTGGACTATAGTTTACTATGCATTGAAAGGGAATCCGTGTGAGATGAAAGATGAGAACAGTCAGTGCGGACTTTTACTTTTTCATTGATTATTTAATAAACTTTACAAAAATGGAACAAAATCATGATTATGGCTTATTTTTTCTGCACTTCCCAGGCCTTTTAAAAATGAAAAGCAGCTCTCTGCAATAAGGATGACGGCTCTTGAGCTTGTAATCAACTTAGTCTGAAAAACAAATTCTCCTATCTTCTAGTTCTTAAAAAGGATCCAAAGGCATAAAGAGAGGCATGTATAACACTGTCTCTTTTTCCAGTGTAGTCATTCAGAGACGTTTTGACCAGTTCCCCAGGCAGCACAACATTAAGGTGCATGGACACAGACCCCCACGCAGCACAACATTTAGGTGTATGGCACAGTTCCCCAGGCAGCACAACATTAAGGTGTATGGCACAGTTCCCCAGGCAGCACAACATTTAGTGTGCATGGCACAGTTCCCCAGGCAGCACAACATTAAGGTGCATGGCACAGACCCCCACGCAGCACAACATTACGGTGCATGGCACAGTTCCCCAGGCAGCACAACATTACGGTGCATGGCACAGTTCCCCAGGCAGCACAACATTAAGGTGTATGGCACAGTTCCCCAGGCAGCACAACATTAAGGTGCATGGCACAGTTCCCCAGGCAGCACAACATTAACCTGTATGGCACAGTTCCCCAGGCAGCACAACATTTAGGTGTATGGCACAGTTCCCCAGGCAGCACAACATTAAGGTGTATGGCACAGTTCCCCAGGCAGCACAACATTAAGTGTATGGCACAGTTCCCCAGGCAGCACAACATTAGGGTGTATGGCACAGTTCCCCAGGCAGCACAACATTAGGGTGTATGGCACAGTTCCCAGGCAGCACAACATTAGGGTGTATGGCACAGTTCCCAGGCAGCACAACATTAGGGTGTATGGCACAGTTCCCCAGGCAGCACAACATTAAGGTGTATGGCACAGTTCCCCAGGCAGCACAACGTTAGTGTGCATGGCACAGTTTCCCAGGCAGCACAACATTAGGGTGTATGGCACAGTTCACCAGGCAGCACAACATTAGGGTGCATGGCACAGTTCCCCAGGCAGCACAACATTAGGGTGTATGGCACAGTTCCCCTGGCAGCACAACATTAGGGTGTATGGCACAGTTCCCCAGGCAGCACAACATTAGGGTGCATGGCACAGTTCACCAGGCAGCACAACATTAGGGTGTATGGCACAGTTCCCCAGGCAGCACAACGTTAGGGTGCATGGCACAGTTCCCCAGGCAGCACAACGTTAGGGTGCATGGCACAGTTCCCCAGGCAGCACAACGTTAGGGTGCATGGCACAGTTCCCCAGGCAGCACAACATTAGGGTGCATGGCACAGTTCCCCAGGCAGCACAACATTAGGGTGCATGGCACAGTTTCCCAGGCAGCACAACATTAGGGTGTATGGCACAGTACACCAGGCAGAACATGGTGTATGGCACAGTTCCCCAGGCAGCACAACATTAGTGTGTATGGCACAGTTCCCCAGGCAGCACAACATTAAGGTGTATGGCACAGGTCCCCAAGCAAGATATGGTATAGCAGCAGCACCAGACATGTCATTGCCATAGTGAAATAAGATCAGGCTCTACAGCCAGCAATGTAGAGCACCTGGCCTGGGCTTTACAGCATGGGTGCTCAAACCTGTGCCCTCCAGCTGTTGCAGCCTTGCAATGCCTTATGAGACTTGTAGTTCCTGGAGGGCCACAGGTTGAGCACCCATGCTTTACAGCAGTCTCTCCACAGAGCTCCTCCAGGAGCTGCAGTATTGGAGCCATGGGACCTCCACCATCATATTACTCATCCCTCTATCAGACATCTCTCCCCAGCAACCCCCCACCTCCAAAGCCTACAGACATTCCTTCCTGGCCCTCTCACACCCCTCCCCGAGGATGACTGACATTCCCTAGCCTACTGAATATCCCCTCTTGACAGACATCTCACCCTGCCTCCTCACCTGAACCTACCCCTTAAAGACGTACTTTTCTTTGGTCGCCTCACTTCCCTCCCAAGCTCAAAAACGTTCCTCCTTTGCCGTTTCTACCCCCATCCCCTCTTACAAAATTCTTCCCCTCCTGCATCACCCAAGTTGCCAGTTATCTCCCCAGGCCATCCCCCTGACAGACATCTCTTCGTGGCGGTCTCACCACCCACTAACATACCTCCGCCGCCCTACTGAGCAGCCAATTTTTGCAGTTTATTTTTTTGCTGTCTATTTCCATTGGGAGATTCCCTTTCATCTCCTGTCCTGGAGACGTATTGGAAAGGACAGGAAATCTCTAGAAAGTAAGGGAAAGTCACCTCCTAGATTGTTGTCCCTGGAACAGGTGTCCCATTGGAAGACTTGCCCTTCCCTCTTGTTCTGGTGGGAATTATAACATTTTGGATTTACCATCACATTGTCTTGGGTAGAGTGGCCAACAGGGCAAATAGGGAGGGTAACACTCCCTTTTGCAGGGATACAAACAGCAAGAAAAACTTGACTGTGTTCTTATCCTTCCCTATTTTATCCAGAGCTGAAAAATGGTTTTGGCTACATACTTTAATCAGCCCTATGTAACTTTTTTTTAATCTGTGTAACATCTTCTCTGATAGGCAGTTAGGCAAATTTAATTTGGACTTCTCCTGTAATCACAGCAGCCAGGATTGTTTAGTATGGCCTGCTTGGAGCTCCACAGGCTGGGTGTTTGATTACTTTCCCTGCCTCTAGAAAAAGCTTCTGGAGGTTAGGGCAGGAGGATTCAAATACCCAGGCTGAATATTTAGAAGGGCTTATCCAATCTCTGGCGAGGTGTGCCCACATGGTGGACAGGTTCCTGGTAAATAGTTTGGAGCCCAGAGGATATTGTCTTTCACCTGGATTGGAGTGGAACCACGAGCTCCAGGGGGGCTACGTGCACTTGGCTAGACACTGGTCTACCTAGTCGGGGCTGCACTTATGGACTGTGTGCGTTCTAGTATCCTGTGAATGGATCCTGTTCACTTATGCTGAAGTATTCATGGTCGTGAAATGTGGACTGCTTCAGTTCTGCGATTACCTGCTCTACATAGTTCTGCATAGTCTCTAGCTGTGCACATTCATACTGCTCTAGTCTTCTATCTCTGTGAAAACCATTATCACTACTAATAAAGAAGTGTCCTCCAATAGCAACTTGCTTCATTCTGGGAGTATCCTGCATCACCCCCAGATCGCCCTCCCAAGTATGGATGGATTGCTGCTGTGTGCCTGGCTGCTTTTGCAATACCTCACAAAAACCTATTCAATCCACAGCAGCCCCAAAGGGTAGCACTACATTGTTTTTTTCTCTTCAACTATTATGTTTTTATTTTACTTTTTACAGTTTATAAGCTTTGTTCATTCACCTTTTTTAGTTTAACATAAAAATAAGATATAAAAAATGTTGTAAAAACAAATCCCTGTAATGTGTCTAATATGTGTATTTACTATGATCGTCAGCTCCATCCAGTGGCCATAATGCAGTTTTCTTGAAATACCTTTTATCAGGAAAATAGTGCATTATAGCCACTAGATGGGGCTGACAAGTAGCCTCCCTGGCGGTATTCTCGAGTGTAGCTCGGGGTAAAGTTTCAGTACCACAAGCGGTAACCCCGAGCTACACTCGGGTCTTACCATGTAGCGCTGCTCCAGGATCTGTTCTTCACTTACCTTCTCCTGCGCTCCCGCGATGTCCCTTCTGCAGTGACCCCTGTAATGTCCTCCAACGGATGCCGGCATCTGTCTTCTGGGTTCCGTCCCCTGCGACGTCGGGACGTACACGGGGACGGAACGGCAGGAAATTTGAAAATGACAAAAAGTGACATTCACTAAATACACTAAAATCACATAGTAAAACATTCCTGTATCAAACCATTTCACATACATTTTGTCCCGAGTGCTTTGTCCTGCGCCTTACCTGCATTTTTACTGTTCTTTCTTCCTGAAAACTGAGAAAGTCCATGGCGTCCAAAAAGCGTCCCTTTAGGTCAAAAGCGGTTTCAGACCGGCTAGAGAACAGCGATAGTAAATCAGAACCACTTGCAGAATTGAGTGATAATGATTCGTGGGGGAAATTCGTCATCAGACACTGAAAACGATTTTGCGACTTTGCTCAGTGATGTGCGAAAATTGGCGCTATATTTCAAATTTCAGTGTTTTTGGTTTGATTATATTATTGAATTAAATGTTGTTTATATTATTTTTTATGATTATTTATTAAATTATATTTTATGATTTTGTGTTTGAAATTGTAACATACCCGGGATGTTTACTAGACTCTTGTTCGGACCGATTTCAGTGAGTTATTCCTAAAAATTACAGGCCTACAATAAAAAAATACATATTTCCATGCAAAAAAAGTACTGCTTTGAGCACAGAAATATTGACATAATCAGACCGGTAGGAGGCTAAAGGAAATACATTTAGTAGACATATTACAGGGGATTATTTGCATCAGTTGTGCAAATGTTGAGGAAATGTTTTAATAAATGGACCCATCATCAGTAACTTAGCCATGCTTTGTATCACTATAGTGTTATTGTAAGCTAAACAAATGACAGAATACAATGCATGCTTTTTATTAACAGTAGCACTAGTTGTTTTCACTCTCCGTTCAAGTTAGAGTAAAGTTTTGGGGTTTTTTTGTTTCTTTTTTTTTTTACGATTATTTGACTGTAGATAAAATAGAAGTTCAGAGGTTTTTTTTGGTAAAGCTTGGCCTCCCAGTTAGACTCAGTCTATACCGTCCATAGAAACCACAATTAGTCTGCCACTTGAGAGTTCTCTGGTTTCTGCACCTGTATCCTGGCTCACGCTTGGCTGGCGGCTGTACACACCATTCAGCAGTTGTTTGCACGAGAGGCGTTGTGTGGATAAAGACGGGTGGTTCTGTAGAGACATCTTTACAACGTGGCACACATACGCTATGTGCATGACCTACTGTAGCAATCATGCAAATATTTCCTAGATCAGCATCATGATCACCTCTTTTGATGCAGGTGGATTATTTCAAAAGAAACTCCTGGGCTGTGCCCACACTGCATAGGTTAACTGTTCATTTTGTCCAGGGGCGCAAGGAAAAGCTATACTCGCCCAATCCTTTGGAAAACCGTGCCCCCCCCCCCCCCCCCCCCACATCCAGCAGTGGACTGTTCCTGCCGCCCTCACACGTCTACAGCCGGTCTATTGGGCGTGATGACATCAGATCCATTCATAAGACTGCTATAGTGTGGGGGGGCAAGAATGGAGGGGACTGGTTTTGCACTTGGAGGATCACCAGATTAGGTAAGTATATCTCCGCTCTCCCATCCCCTAGATAAAAGCAAGCAGTTAACCCATGGGGTGCGGGCATAGACCCACTGCATGGGAAAATAAACATTTTACCTGGAGTTCTTCTTTAAACCTCAAAATTTAAACGTGAAAAGCTGTTTCCTTTAGTCTGCTAAAGGAGTATATTTAAGAAGAGAAACAGAAGTTTTAGGCTTGTAGTGGGAAATAAAGCCTGTGAGATCAAATATTCCTTCTAAACATACTAGCTACTGCACACAATGCAGTTCGATCCAATGACAAACTCTCGGTTGCAAGTAACTGATTTGTAACTTAAAAGGAATATTATGCAGGTAGTGCTGCAGTTGATAATCACTTAAGGGCTTGTTTATAGCAGACCGTGGACATTGCGTTCCACTATACGCTGTACACGTGTTTACTTGACACTGCGCCTGTATTTTACAAGTCGTTCATAAAAACAAAGGCCACCACGTTGATGCTATGTAATGCACAAGCCTCATAAAGTAATTTCTCTAAATAAGCCAAATCCTCTGGGAGGCTGAATGTCTCACACTCCCCCCCCCTACCAGAAATCTGACTTGTATCTCGGTGCAAACTTCTGGGAAAATCAGTAAGCCAACCGCACAAGCAGAAAATTACATTTCTGGGGGGCGTTTAATACACCATCGGTGTACAGAACGCCTCCAGGTTGTCTTATTGCATTTTTCAGGAAATTACAGCGCTGCAGATTGAAAAGGAAAAATGCTTTTGAAAAACATTTCATTGCAATATGACTTGTCACAATTGCATATGCTATACTATTAGAATTTTTTTTTTTTTAAATTTGCTATTTTTTTCCCATGAAAGTAGAAGCGGAGCTACCCTTTTTAAATGGGAGGGGGGAATATATATATATATATATATATATATATGTATGTATGTATATATATATATATATATATATGTGTGTATATATATATATAGTATGTATATAGTGTGTATGTACATATTTATATTATAAAGAAGAGTATACTTGCTATAACAACCACCTCGCTTTGCTGTATTTGATTACAGGTTTCTCCTCGTCAAGCACAGGAGTGGTGCAAGTCGTATAATGCAGAATACTTTGAAACAAGTGCAAAGGCAGCGGTGAATGTAGAGGAAGCATTTGTGCAAGCCATCAGGCTAGCCCTGAAACATGTATGTATAATTGAGAAAATGTATTCATCTTTATTACAACCTATAGGGAAAGTGTAGCTTATTGCTAAAAATGTAATATCTTGTTCATCCTACGTCATTGAAAGCCTTGGGGTATACATTGGCTATTTCTATACCACACAAAAAAAGTGTCACAAATTACAAAATTCAGTGAGAATAGATGGTGAGAGGTTGAAGAAAGAAGGCACCCTCAACATCATTTTTAGGCCTCATTCACATGGGTGTACTTAAGTGTACACCTGTGCGAGGCCCTAGTTTGCCCATACGGGGATGCACAGGTGTTCATGCAGCCCTATTCCTGTCAATTGAGGTGCAGCAGTTGTGTGGACATAGCTACTACTCCCATTCTGACATACTTGGGGGTGTGGGTCCCTGAATCCGGATGTCAGATTGGGAGCAGTGGCTGTATCCGTGCAATGCTGTGTCTCAGCTGACAAGAATTGGACTGCCTGCACAAAGTTTGCATGAAACACCTGTGCATCCTTATGCGGGCAAACAAGACCCTCGTACAGGCAAATGCTTAATGTTACACAGTTAGTCTGGCTGAAAAAAGACAACAGTCCATCCAGTTCAACCATAAAAAGAAGAAAAAAAAAAAGTTATAATCCTATACCCACAGTTGATCCAGAGGAAGGCCAAAAAAATAAAGCAAAGCATGATCCAATTTGCCCCTGCTGGGAAAAGAAAATTCCTTCCTGTACGTGTGAACAAGGCCTAGGCCCATCTATGTTTTCCTTGAACCGATTCCTGTCATTCAATAACACTCCGGTCACATCAAACCCGCCTTTGAAATCGTGCGACTTACAGTGAAGTCGCACAATTTCAAAGTCAGGTTAACTGCTGATTTCAGGTGCGATTTGCAAGAACTTGCAGTAAAGCATTTGTAGAACAGTAAAATCAACTGTATAATTGCCCAAGATGACACAGATGTCTATGCAAATCGCACCAAAAGTAGTGCATGTACTACTTTGGAAATCAGTGCGGCTCCAACCAAGTCAGAACCGCACCAATGTGACTGCTGTAATTGCGGACACTAGGGGGCGACTTGGCATGCGATTTGTAAATCGCATGGCATGCAAATTGCATGCAAATTGCATGCATGCAAATGCATGCCAATTCGTATTCAGTGTGACCGGGGTATAATAACCTGGCCCCAAAAAAGTTTGGAAATGCATGCAGGTCTTCTTGGGCATTTATACAGTTGTTCTACAAATGCTTTACTGCAATCAACTGGTGTGAATTGGTCCTTAGGCAACCTTTTACAATGCAAAAAATCTGCAATCGCAGATAGTTGGTCAGATACTTAACCCCCTACAGGGACGTGGTTGAAAGCCCACCTTGGAAAAGCTTACTTTAAAGTTGGCCTTACACTGCTCAGATTTTGGCCCTGGATGCAGGCAAACTGGCTTCATGCATTAACGGCAGCCCTTTCATTTGTTCCTGCACCTTTTTGTTTTAAAAATGTAGCTGCAGCGAAATCGTATGGTGTGTTTGCGCCATGCGATTTCTTGCACCCACAAAAGTGCAGCGTTATTGGATGCATGATGGTGCCAAGAATGATTGACAGCCCCACAGTCCTGTAAAAGAGCAGCACGTTTTGATTTCGGGAACAGGTGCGATTCCTGCACCCACACAAGTGTGAACCTTGTCTTCGCTGCATTAGCGATCACTTATGAGCTGCCGCAATTAGCTGCAGGAGCTGGCAGCCTCCCATTCCTTTCAATGGGGCTGCCTCCTTCAGCCAATTGTGAGAACGCTTGCATCTAATCAGAGGCAGGGTGCATTCGGAGGGGTGAATGCACCCCTAAATGAAAAGGCTTTTTGCAAGTTCAAAAGCAGGTCTCAGTTGTGCCACTGGGGTAGGACAAGGTAATTTAAAAAAAAAAAAAAACATTTGAGGTCTAAAGCTGCTTTTCCTTTTACCAGTTGTTCGTTTTTTTTTTCTTTTGTTAACAGCATGAAGTACTTGGCAATAAGTCCAATGAAGAATCTGTGAACTTGTTAGAAAAGGCAGACAATCTGCACACAAAGAAATGTAACTGTTAATGACAGAAGTGCTTCCCTTACCTCAAAAATGAAGGTGCTTTTTCCATTTATCAAAAACTATGGCAAAGCCTGAGATCTTGAAAAACCTGACTTACACGGAATTCAACCAAAACCAGAACCTTGCTAAATACAGCGTGTGAATCAACTTTTTTTTTTTTTTTTGCTCTGCATGGACAGTACAGACCTTGCCCTATAATCAGAGAAAATGAGATTCGTATACACCCATTATACAGCTGTGAAAGGGTTTTGGAACTTTCTAGGATTTCTGCTTAAATAATGCCTACAATGTTATCTAGACTATCTAGATTATCTATCTATAATCTATCTAGATTATCTAAAAGTCTTAGCAATGAAGACAGTTGGTCCGATTTAGTAAAAATTTTTCTTTTTTTAGTATAAGCTAAAATAAATGTTTAAAATACGCAATTTACAAAACTGATTTTTTTTTTTTTTTGTAGTATCACTTTATGGCCTCGTGCATAGTGCTTAAAACACACCACTTGTACAGATGTTCTGCATTTATTTGTTTTTATGCCTGTAAATGCCACCTCTTTGTTAGCCTATGTGGCCATGCACACGTGTTTAAAGGAGTATTTGAAGAGGAGCATTTACAGGCAGAATAGAAACCACCAAAAGTGCATTCTGATAAGAGCGTTTGAGCAGAAAAAAATGGGCATACACATATAAATGCACATGGTATGTGTGTAAATGTATTCCAGTGGCCAGAATAAATGAATATTCTGGGCAGCATAATGCATTTACGCCTCAAATGACATATATGCATAAATTCTCTTACATATACACATATATATTGTAACATTTACAGGCATTTTTTGTTCTGCCAAATTCTGGTACAAAAAAAAAAAAAAAAGGCTGTTCATTGTCATAAGTAGCGTGTACTGGTCCTGTACTTCCCCCAGCATGTGACTGGACAGAGAATGAAGGAATACACAAAACCCTGCCTGTTCATTATTTCACTAGGAAAGCCCATATGTTATATATTTGAATCCACTGCACAAGGCGTTACTGGATTTCTGGCAAGATCAACAAGTATTTTCTGTACTCCTAAAAAAAAAAAAAAAAAAAAAAAAAAAAAAAATAGCATTTACCATATTTAAGGCCTGGTAAGCCAATATATTACATTTTTGTTCTTGGATAAATATAAATTAACCTCTTCACGCTGGCCACACGCAAATGTGTGGCTTCTGGGCCTTGACGCCGAGCAGCCGCACATTTCCGTGCAATTAACAAAAACATATGTACTGAGAGTGCTCCCAGCACACATGTCCGGTACTCACGGAAATGTCCCGATCTCCTCTTTCGAACGGGACCTTTTCCGATCATGTGATGGTGAATCACGGCGGTCACATAATCCTAAAACCCCTCCCCCCGGCTTCTGAAACCCTTAAAGGGCTGGGAGGCGCAGGCGCCAAGGGGTTAAACCAAGATTTAGTCTAAGCCCCAATACGCACGTGTCGCACATAGGACACCCTATCCATTTGAATGGGCTGCCCTATATGCCACAAATGCTTCAGAACCTCAAGCATCTTTTTGAGCTTCTTCCATCTTGCTTTCTGCGTTTGGGGTGCCATTAAAGTGGAACTTTAATCAGAAAAGTAGACCACTTTAGGCTGGCCCCTTTTGCAGGGATTGCGATGTAAAACATTAAAAATAAATGCCTAAAATCCAGTAATACACTCTCTCACCCTGCTTTGCACATGCTCTGCTCAGTTGCTCTCAATTTTTTGGCACTGTGCCAAAAAGGTAGGGGCCGATCTGCTGTCCTCCTGAAGATTTATTGCTGCTCAGGGGCTCTGAGCTTCAGCGCAATGGCAGCCTCCAGCAAGAAGAAACTGTAACAATGCTGGGGGCAATTTACAGCACACACTAATGTTGGTTGCATTATTATTATTATGGAATGTATTTTCGTTGCTAAAGAACATGATTTTTATCAAGTGGTTGTTCCACTTTAACAATGTGTGTTACATTTGTGGTACCCTTCGTTTTGTGAATGCAGCCCAAGGATTTACCAACCTTCTCACAACTTTTTCTGCCTGTTGCCATGCATGTTAGTACAGGAGGTGTGCAATACCTGACTCTGGAGTTTCTTGCTTCTGATAGGTGGGTTTTCCTTTGTATACAAAGATGTATTTATTATTTAAGTCAATATTAATAAAGTTTCAGAAATTTTAAAATTTAGTACTAGTCATTTGTAAGAAATGCTTTACAGCTATTAAGTGGCAAATCCTACCTATGTGGGTGAGCAATCATGACTACCAATCCCTGTGTTGCTCATACTCCAGCCAATCGGATGTTTTCACTACAAAAAAAAAAAAAAAAAACCTGCAAGGAAACTAGAGTATTGGGAGCAGCTTAGCCCTTTTTTTTTTTTTTTTTTCTTCTTTTTTGTAGTGCAACAAAATCCCAGCCTTGGAAGTACATTGCTTTTGATACACTGAAACTACTTATGCTTGGATCTGTAACCCTAGGTTCACACCTATGCAGGTTGCGTTGGATGCATTCCTGCATTGCGTTTGTTTTTTTTCTTGTTGCTAGGCAGATTTAAAACGCAGCAAAAACACAATACTTGCTTTTCTGCAGCGTTCCCATTGAAGTCTATAGAACCAAAAACGCAACGGTTTGCATTCAAAAAAGTCTGACGATGTCCAAAAATACACCGGGTGAACTTGTCCCACAGGAAATCATATTACATGGACTGTACTGCGTTTCTGCAAAAAAAAAAAATCTAAGGTAAGATTGCTCAGTGTACTGCACACTGCAATCCATATGACTGATTAAAATGCTGGAAAAGTTTCCTATGAGCTTGCATGCACTAATGTGAGTGGCTTTTTACTTGCTGGTCTTGCTACTGTGATTCAGACTGAAAATGGCCTGCGACCTCAAACCAGGGAAGCGCATGCCTAGGGACGGCAACTCATTGATTGTCATCTGGGCTTGCTGACCCGCTATTCCAGAGCATCAGAGTGCACCGA